TTGAAACAATACAGAAGCAATACACAGTAACACTCCAGATACCTTAAAATGTCACTTTGCTAATTCAGATTCCTGTCTCACGACTAAACTCTAGGAGATTTCTCTCTTTAGCAGACAATGTTTCAGGAACTGATTAGGTAAACAAACTAACTAATATGATGAATGCAGATAGCAAGGACACATTGAGTCTCATATCCCTTTGCAAGATGAGAGATTCCTCCTACTACAAATTGTTCTTCTACATCATCAATAATCCAAAGAAGAATTGGTCATCATTTGTGATTCAGAGGAGGAAACTGGTAAGAATAACCTTGCCAGTCTTGACTATGAAACACTGCATCCCTGCACAGGGTGCCTTCACTTTTGCAGCTTTGGGCAGTGGGCATTGAGAGTGAGAATGGGGTTATGATTAGAATTAGAAAAAAAAACCCTTTATAAAGCTTCTCAGTACTGTTGGTTTTGGTAAGGGGGACTCAGAAGGACAGGCATGTGGAACAAGCACCCAGGATATGACACTGAAGGTGCTGGTATTTGCTGCTATCTTGGATCCTAGGCTGCAGCTGCTCTTGGAGGAGGCAGTGTCAGTGTGACCTGCCTCCCGGGGTTGGAGAGTGTGTGATGCTGAGCTCTGGCCAAATGATGGGGCAGATTCTTTCTGAGCAAGGCATTATGTTACCACCCTTTCTTCACTTTTAGAGTAGATTCTGCAAGGTCATGAGTTTTGGTCTTGCAGCTTTTCTTTGCCCAGAGGACCAAAGCTGATGCGTATGGAAGTGCCTGTGGTTTCTGCAGGGTGCCCAGACATACCCATTTTGCAGTGCCTACTGTGCAGTGAGCATCATCTTATCCTGCTGCTGGTGCATGGAGGGTGGGTGTCTGGCAGCCTTGTCAGAGATGTGCTGGGCTGCTGCCTCCAGCTCAGCCGGGCTGGTCACCACCCTGGATCCAGCCCTTGGTATACCAAAGGCAGCACTCATGGGGCTCAGGAGCAGCTCAGGAGAAGGCTTTGGGTTGTTAAACATCAAGTGTACATGCATGGGCTGAACTCCTATGCTAATGTGTCTCATGAGGAGCAAGACATACCTGTCCTTTTTACTCTGTTGTTCAGTTTTTAAGAGTAGATTTCCTGGAACAAGCTCCTCATCTTTCACAGAGTGTGCTCACATGATAATAAAAAGCTGTAAATCATCTTAAGATGTAGCATATTACTCAAAAAAATCCTCTGTGCATCAGATTCTCACAGCTTTGCACAATCATCTGATGTGTCTAAAATTAATTAGGGGTTTTCTCCACTGGTTGTAGAGTGTGAAAGTGCAGACACAGCCTTCACCATACCCTGGGCTGTGCAATGAAGAACCAGATGAAAGCAAGTGAGGAGGAAGGTGTGTGGTACACAGCCAGCTCAATAAAGCATTTCACTAAGCTGAGCTGACCCATGTGAAGGGGAGGGGCCAGACCAAACATGGACAAACCTAAACATCACTTGAAGCAGGATGAATTTTACAGAGCCAGAGGAAGTTGTAAATATCTCCATGCAAAAACAACTGCAGCCAAAGAAGTCACAGAATACCAAACACACAAGGGAATAGAAGTATAAGGGTGAAAACCACCTCAGTCAAGAGAAGAAAACTGAGGTGCCAATAATAAACATTCAGAAGGCGTGGCTGATAAAGCAACACAGTTGAAAATACCTCAGAATGACTAAAACCAGTATGCAATTCAGCTTAGAATTGAGGCATAGGAAAATGTTCATAACACAGCAAGAAAGCTGAAGAAAGCAGTTAGATCTTCTCCCAGAAGAAAGTCCCACTGATGGAGCCAGATGAATGAGGGCAACATCCTGAAAATGAGCCACAGGGAATAATTCTGCTGATCCAATATGGTGTGGGGGCTGCTGGTGCTGTGCTGGAGCTCTTTCCTCTGTGCTGTTCTGGAGGGGCTTGTGGCAGAGGTGCTGGGCTGGGTTCTGATCCCAGCAATGGTCACTATTTAGCATCATTAGTTTCACTTGACTTCATTCCTGAGATCAATATAAAGCTTCTGGTATTAAAGCAAGATGGACAGTCCTCCCAACCTCTCTTCTACTAGAAATTCTGTGATTTAAAACTTCCATTTTCCCAAGTCAAAACCAAGAGGAAATTCCCATCAACAGAAAAATTTGGTTTGGGAAATCTTAGAACGATCTTACTAAGGTGTTGATCTCATTTTGGTTTTCCCATTTGCTTTTAGACATAGATTTTGCATGTCTTAGGTGGGTGAGATTGAAATACAACATTCAGAAGAAAGCCATGGACAATTTTGATTATACTTCCACTGGCTGGACACAGTTTTTGCTGTGTGATTGAATCAGTATTTTTTCATTGAAAATTTTCCACTGGCTCTAGTCAAAATTGGATTGTCAAAATTGGCAAAGCTTCTGCTGTCTCCAGTATTTGAGTGGCTCTGCCATTGGAAAGGGGATACTCCATGGCAGCCAGTTTAGTGTCAGCTGATTTAGTGGCAGCAGGCAGTGCTGGGGCAGGTGAGCCCCAAGGAGAAGGGCAGAGGAGCATAAGGTAGGGGAGAAGATATTTGGGCCATTAAAGTGGGAGAGAGAGCTGATGAAAGCATCAGTGAGGAGGCACCTAGCTAAAAGAGGATTCAGGAGACTTAAAAAGGTTGCCTGCTTGGTACTTGATGGAAAAGCCTATTCTTGGTTGAGATCCCAGGTATGGCAACTGGTGACAAACACAGCTATAGAGCCCCAAGCCCTGCAAGCCGCTCTGGATAACAAGGAAAGGTGTCAGTGCAACCCCAAACCGAGGCAGATTTGCAGTTGCTGTGCCTTGGGTTGTGCAGGAATTTCTCCCTGAAGTAAAGCGGGGAGGTCTGTGGCAAGGGATGTAAGTGGTTTACCCAGGTGGAACAGGCAGGATCCCCCTCTGGGCCCTGGTGGATTGAGCTGCCCCTTTGCAGCATGGAGGTGTCTGGGGTGGCTGCCCCTCTGCCCCCGTCTGGTGGGTGTGATGGCCACAAGTGTTTTTCCTGAGGGTGGAGATGGAGCAAGCTGATCCTTTCCAGTTCTGTCCTCTGGGCTCTGGGAGCAGGAGGAGTGCATGGCCTGGAGTGAGGGACTCTGCCAGCATCCTGCTGACTGCATGGCCGAACCTGTGTGGCACACAGGCATGGAAAAGTGAGTGGAGAGAGGAAGCTAAGCACTCCTGAGAGTCCTTGCTCAGGTGGATTTGCAGCCATCCATGTTCCAGGGGTTTCATAGTATCAGTATGAAAGTGTAAATCAGACTGTTTATCATGCAGAGGAGGTAACATATGTGGCACAGCAGCCTGTCTGTAAAATCCCCTCTGAACATGCACAGAGTGTCTTCTGCTGGGAGAAGATGGGATCACAGCCACTGGGACCACCACGCCAGCCACCCTGCAGAGCTCCCTTTGGGGAGTGGCTGGCTGGGCTCCCAGGGAAAGGCCAAGAGTGGCTGTCACCAGTGCTAGCAAGCCACCTGCCTACCCTGCAGCTCTGTCCCCGTAAGGCTTTGGTGCTGGGCAGTTCCCCTCTGCGCAGGTAGAAGAGGCAAGCTTGCCTTGCCAGCTGAGAGGAGGATTCACTCTGTGGCATCAGTCCCGTGGTCCCCAGGGCAGAGCTGGGGGTTTGCCCCACCCCACCAGTGCTCCCCACGGCAGCCCGAGCTCCCCCATGGCTACGGGTGGTGGGGACAAGAGAGGGTTAAGCTGTCAGCTCTGTAATGTTAAACAGGTGTCAAAGGCACCTCCATATATCTGCAGATTGAAATCAAATTCTTTGCAGTATAAAAAGATAAATTACCCAGGCGATTCCCGCCTCATCCCACTCATCAGGCCAGCGCCAGACGGCAAGCAATTTTTTTTTTTAATGTGCTAACGACCTAATCAAGCAATCAAGTCGGAGAAGATTGCAGAGTGACCCCGAGCATCCATCTGCCAGCGAGACCCCGCCATTCATTTCCATTCTGCCGTGTACTTTCCGGGAAAGAGAGGGGAAAAAAATAGAAAAGAAATAAAAAAAAAATCCTAAACAAATTAACACCCAATTTTCTGTGACTCTAATTAGTTAAATGAGGAGGTGTTTGGGGTGTCCACAGGGAGGGAGGGGCTGCCTCTCAGAGAGGGGCCTGGTAACTTCATGGCATTAATTAGCGCAGGTCAATGGCGTGGTTCCCTGGGGACCAGCTGCTTTAATTTCCCGTGATATTTCAGTGCCTGAGGCCCATCGATTCAAACTGAAATTAACTTATTTTTCAATCAGGCCTGGGCTGCCCCTGGGGCTGACTCTTCCTTTGCCTCCTTCTGAATAGACCTCGAGCAATTTTTCATCTAAAGCTGATGCCTCTGCTCGGCAGGAAGGGAGGGGAGTTGGGGAAGGAGGAGGGCGAGGGAGACAAGAGGAATGGAAATCGGAGAGAGAGCGCTAATAGATTTTTGTGAGCATCTCCCCCCTCCCCACCATCCCCCCCCACTGCTCTGCTTGCTGCCCCCCAGGTCACAGCTCAGAGATTATTCTGCCAATTTTCTGAGAAGATGAGGGGCTTTTCAAACTGGGAATTCAGGGCAAAGCGCACAGATCAGCTTCCCCCTTCTCCCGCCTCTCCCCAGCACCCACCCCCATCCCAGCCCTCCCTGCCCGCAGCCCTGCGCTGCAGCTCAGACACCCAGTAAATAATGAAAGAAAATCCCAGGCACAAGAGCCAAAAGCTGCTAGAAAAAGGCACTGTGATGGTAAATTAATTACATCCTGCAGAGAGGGATGGGACCTGCCCTCACGCTTGGCCCTCGCTGCTCCTGCAAGGGAGGGAGAGAGAGATACCCTGCAGCTGCTGCAAGGGGGAAGAGACTGCAGTGCTTTTGGGATGAGCATCCACACATCTTCCTTCATTCTGCTGCACAAGCACACCGTTTTCCCCCTTGGGAAGGGGACTGACAGACCATCTCCCCCAAAAAAATCATGTACCCCCTTGTCGCCCACCTCAGGTTTGGTTCCAGAACCGCCGGGCCAAATGGCGGAAGAGGGAGAAGTGCTGGGGCAGGAGCAGCGTGATGGCCGAGTACGGGCTCTACGGTGCCATGGTGCGTCACTCCATCCCGCTGCCCGAGTCCATCCTCAAGTCTGCCAAGGATGGCATCATGGAGTCCTGTGCCCCTTGGCTCCTGGGTAAGAGAACAGCCACCTTTGTGAGGGTTGGTGAGTGGGTCAAGGTGAAACGAGGGGATGCGATGAAGAAGCTGGAGCTGTGTTGAAAACATGGGTGAGGGTGGCAGGGCAAGGTCCCCCCACCCTGCAACCCCACTCTCCCCCAAGGGCCCTCATCAATAGGGTCTGACTGCTCATCCAAAATCACTTCTGGTCCTTGGATCCTGACCTGCAGGATCTGGCTGGGGCAGGAATTTGCCCATGCACAGCACAGGATGGTGTTATCTTTAACTCTCTCATGCCCAGCCCTGGAGCAGGGGCTCCAACCCTTGTCCAAGGCAGGAGATCATCCTGATCTGACTCCTGCAGTTCTGTGGTGCTGTATGGGGTGCTGGGACCCCCAAATGCACTCTCCTTGCCCAAGTCCCAGGGGAACACCCTGCAGCCTCCTCCTGTTCTTGGCACTCGTGGGAGCTGCATCTCTGCCTAGTTTTGCTTTGTTTTCTGTACAGACAGAGGTAGCAGCTACCCTACCATGCTCCTGCTCTTTGCTTCCTGCTTTCTGACCTTTCAGGCTGGTTCTGCCCCAAAACTAGTATCTGGCATCTTGATGACAGGCTGTCCTGTCCTTCTGTCTATGTGATACTGAGAGAGGCAGAGGGATGGGTTTTGTGAGGAGTGGATTGATGGAGGAATAGCTAATGGAGGATCTCCCTCACCAGCCTTGATGAAGTTCAGGCAACTGTTCTGCTGCTTGAGACCCTCGTCCCCACACAGGGACAAGTTAGCTTTATGTTGACAGGAAGAAACAGAAGGGAGAGTAATTATAGACATTCTGGGGCAGCCCCAAGGGCATGAATGCTGGGGCTGGGCTGCCCCAGTGGGCAGCTGCCTTGCCTGGGCTACCCTTGCATGGGGGCCAGAGCAAGCACCTCGCCGTGACTGCTGTGTGAAGTGAGGGTTTCTGCTTTTCCTTAATTCTGGCCTCTCTTTATCTTTGCTGTTTTCAGTTCAAGATGGCTTTCCCATGCCCAGGCGCTTTTCTAAACCCGAATACCAACAATTCTTTTTAGGGATGCACAAAAAGTCTCTGGAGGCAGCGGCTGAGGCGGGGAGGAAGACGGAGGTGGAGCGCCAGGCCCTGCCCAAGCTTGACAAGGGTGACAAGGAAGAGAGGGGCCCGGATCCCAAAACCACCATTTCCCAGGAGGAACTGAGAGAAAACAGCATTGCTGCCCTCAGGGCCAAAGCTCAGGAGCACAGCACCAAAGTCCTGGGGACCATCGCTGGGGACGCCCCTGCTCCAGGCAGGAAGACAGAGATGGGGGAGGAGGCGGTGGCAGCGGAGGATGAGCGACAGACAGAGAAGTCAAACTCATCACAGAAGGAGGAGAAGCTGATCTAGGGGGGAA